ATGGTGACAGCAGAATTCCTCACGTTTCTTATCTCGGTGTCGCCATTGGGCCTATGTGAATAAATGCAAAGAAACCAACCCTTATCTTACGGCATATGATTTCCACAAATTGGCAGCAAGATTATCTCCAAGTTATATATTAGGAATTATAAAAATAAATATATGTAGCATATGATTTATTTCATTATGAATTTATTTGTCTTTTTAGTTGAGACTGCCTTTCATGGCACATGTGGTTGTGGTAAGAAATTCTGCTATCATTGTTTAACAGCAAAGCAGAGATGAGTGTCAGAGGGATTTCTTACCTTTTCAAGTTGTGCGTTCTGTTTGGACTTGTAGAGGAACTCTCCCACAGCCACAAACAAGGAGAGGCAGTTGATTTTTTTCAGTTTTTTCAGCTTACTATGACCTGGATGACTGAGAATCTGCACGGGCATTAAGTCCTTACTGTACACTAGGCTACAACATATATAAAAAAGACATTTCAAAAAATCTCATTGGCTAACCTTAACCACAGTCAGCAGAGAAGGGTGACATAGATTTATACACTGAGGCCTAGAATGTGTTTACACTAGCTTGGCAAGCCAGAGGTTTAAAAAGAGTAAGGTGGACAGCGAAGCTTTTTTGGAATTTAAAAAAGTACAACCTTAAAGAATGTGTGACCTACCAAGACAAGACTAAGCACCTCAAAGGGTGCCTTGTTAGGTCAATAGCTGCGTTTACATGGACTCTTTATTCCATTAGTAGAATGAAAATCCATCATGTGACCACCTCAGTTTGAACAGAATGGCCTGATCCGGCTTGATCAGAAAGAATTTATGATCAAAATGAGAGGGGTGCTGTAAACCTTTGATAATCCACTCAACAGGAAAATATTAGCCATGTAAACCCTTAATCCAAATGTTTCTCTCTTGTTGGAATAAATAATGGGGGTAACATTAATTGACATGATGAGTTTTGGGAAGGACAATCAAGAAAGTGCTATTCTGATTAAATGCTTTGAGCATATAGATGCACATCCTATGAGGACAGCATCCACATAAAGAGTTAAATTAGAATCTCTAATCAGAATAATTTCAATCTGATTGAAGAAACAGTCATTGGAACCACAGCTAATGTTTGTTGTCAATCACAGTGAGGAAAGCTGTATCTCAGCAAGCCCTTTGGCCATGATGTCTCTGTAGAGCTTCAGTCAAAATCAATTGTTTGTGTATTTATTTCTTTATAAATATATACAATATATATTATAGTTCTATAAAATCTTATTTATTGTAAATATACAGTACATTCCAGCAACGATAACAGTCACTTGAAATGTCTCCTGACCCTGGATAAACAAAAATACTATTGTCTTGATTTCAGATTGAGTGTACATTTTCCTTATATACTTGAGTTTTAGCTCAAAAGCAAATCTGAACTCCCCAGAATGTTATCTGGCCAGTTGCTGACAAACATGGGAAATGTTATATTGCCCACCTCCACCTGGAATCCTATCCAAACAGTGCTTAAGAAAGTTGTTTTACAGCTGCAGGGTTGCAGCCATATACCGGTTTCACAGCATATGATGGTATGAATATTTACAGTTGTCATACCACACTTATTACCGGTGTTAAAGAAAAAAACACAATGCATGTGCGCCTTTCTTCCCCGATTGTCTGTCAGACTCCTCAACACATGTCACACGCACACATGTAGCGGACAAATGGCAGAGAAGGAGGCTGAAATCACCAAAGTCCGTCCACCAAAAAATAAATTTCAATCAGCAACGCGGGATAACTTTGAGCATCCCAAAAAAACAAACACCTTTGAGCGCCCCATTCCTCCATACAGGTCAAAGTATGTGTCCCATTGATACCTTTAGTCCCAAATAATAAATGATGGTTTTAAAATGCGCTATCAAAACAATTTCTGTTCCTCGCGATAATCTCTGACTTAAAAAAGGACTTGCACTGATCCCGAGCTCACTCCAGAAACACACAAACTTTCTTGACTCACATAAATAGGTGTGTGTGTGTGAGTGAGAGTGAGAGAGAGAGAGCCAGACCTGCCTGCGCTCTCACACACCTACAATAAATTAGCCACTATTTTAATAATGGTTCAGAGCACTGTGACGGCAGGTCTCACAAACCAGTCCGTCTGTTAACATTATTAATGCAGGAATTAGACTACTTTTACTTAAGTAAAGGAAGTGAATTCTTCCTCCACTACAGGTGCTAACGTGCAAACTTTAGTTATATAATATGTTATAGTTGTATGGCGTTTTTTAAATAATCTTTATAATTGTTTATTCTTTAGGGTCACTCTAGTGCTGCAGTCCAGCTCAGTCAACTGCCACAGTCACATACAATTCTTCTGAGGGTCACTGTAGTTGATAATAATAGTACTTGTGTGATACTGTGATATTTTCTGAGACGGTTATTGTACTGTGAAAATGTCATACCGTTGCAACCCTAGTCTTCAATTTTGTATGAAGCTAGCTAAACAGTTCCCTGAGTTCTGGACTGGGTGCAGAGAGATGAAACTGACCTCTCTTATCTGCCTATGGACGTGAAAGCAAATGCATATTTTGCAAGCCTTTTGAGAGCGCCTTTAAAATGAACAAGTCACCATGCAGCAGTGATAAGGGAATGTACAGAAATAATATAAAGGGAACACATATGAGACAAAAAAAACTAAATGAAGAAAATAAGTTTCATAGTCTTGGTAAATTAATCAAAATGACAAGCGTACAGAGATCTACAGTTTGTAAAGATATCAAATGTTTATTAATAGTTTTGCTCAAATTTTTACATCTGACAGTGCTCATCTTGTGGTATTGCTGAGTTTAGTGAATACAGTATTCTCATAAACACATACTGGTTTTAATGTGCATTTTCCCCTTTAAAATACTACAAATGGTTCCTCTAATGTAACAGAGGGTGTACGATTCATCCCATTATATAAATGGTCAGATGCTATTCTTGCTCCCTTCCCCCTCCCTCATGTTATAGAACAGACTTAATTATAAAATGAAAATTACAGGGCAGCACAGTTAGGTATGTGAAACAACAGAGATGCTTAGCACCACATTTTTCAACTTGAAATTTGCAGCATCATGGTGAGAAAATAACCCCATACTGTAAAAAGAAGGCTCATAGATTAGACACTGGACTGTGATATCTGCCAGTTACACATTCTAGTTTGAAATCAATATTTGGATAACATAAATCAAGATAGGTTTAGGGTTCAGGTCATATATTGTTTTTTAAGTATTGGCCTTTAAAATATCTCATAGCAGGCAGTCTGAGCTGTCATTATGACTGGGGTTCCTTGCTGACCACAACAGAGGAATAAAACTGTCTTCTGTGCTACAAGAGATGAATGCAGGTTTTCTTTCTTTAATTCTAAACTTTTATGATATAATAATTTTATAATACAGTTTTACATGGATTCATTATTTCAAGTTAACAAAATGCCCTCTTTTTTTGAATAGGTGTATATAATACTCTCTGCTCTGTTTTCCTGCCACACAACGCAGCAATAAAGTCGTTTTTAAACTCCAGGCACAAAGAGAATATGGGCATGTTCTACAATATTCTGCAATGTTGTGACCACAGACGCAGCGCACTTCTGTGCACAGCCAGGTGTTATGGGGCGCATTGTGGAGGAGAGGTGAAAAATGTTATTAGAGGGAGGAATACATGGTGGAGTCAGGGCTGGTTTTAGTTCTGTCCAGTCAAACCAGATCCTCTCATCCCTTTAAAAGGCAGAGCACAAACCTGACTGACTGATGTCACTGATGTCAAGACATGGAAATATAGAAGAGGAAAGATTCTTCCCCTGTATCTTCATCTCCCCCAGTTATGTACTGCATTCCTAAACTGACTGACTAAACTATTTACATAGAAGGACTGCACATGAATATTCACTCAGTAATCTGCTAATATCACTGAGCAGAAAGAAAGTCTCTGGTCCTATAACCAGCAATAACTATACAGTATAGTATAATTTACTCATAGCTGCATCCAATGTGTGAAATCCACAGGGGGTCTCACATGTAACTGTATAAGCATTTCACTGTTTTTAAAAAAGTACAATAATAATACAATAAAATCATATTGTAATCAATGGGTTTGTGGTGAAACTGATTGTGGTCCGGCAGAGCGCACAGCCAACAGAGGTATCCACTTTATCTCCACCTACAGCTGCTTTCAAAGCTGATCAAACCACCATAAAATGCATAAACAGACACAACATATACAGTGTCAAGAAAAAGTATGTGAGCCTTTTGGAATTTCATGGTTTTCTGCATTAATTTGTCATAAAATGTGATCTGATCTTCATCTATGTCAAGAGTACTGAAGAATATAATGTGTCTAATATAACACAAAAAATTCTGATCTTTCTTGTCTTTATTGAGAACAACCATAAAAACCTCAGTGCTAGTGGAAAAAGTATGTGACTCCTTGAGTTAATGACCTCAAAAAAGCTAATTGGAGTCAGGTGTTAGCATACCTGGAGTCTTGTTAAGAAAATGAGTTTGGAGGTGTGGGCTAGAGCTACTTTGACTGATAAAAACCATTCAAACCTTTTGAGTTTGCTCCATAGAAGAAGATAATTATGTGAGCCATGCCTTACCAAAAAGAGCTTTCAGATGATTGATGATCAAGAATTGTTGATTTACCTAAAGCAGGAAAGGGTTATAAAGTGATTTCAAAGATTTTAAAAATTCACCAGTCTACAGTTAGGCAAAGAATCTACAAATGGAGACACTTTGTGTGGCTACTCTACCAAGAAGTGGGCATCCAGTCAAAATGACCCCAAGACCACAACGAAGACTCATCAATGAGGTAAAGAAACAACCTCGAGTGACACCCAAAGATTTGAAGGTGTCATTGGAATTGGATAGCATCTATGTTCATCAGTCTACAGTATGTAAAACATTGAACAAGCAGGGTGTCTATGGCAGGACACCACGAAGGAAGCCGCTGCTTACTAAAAAAAGAACATTGCTGCACGTCTGAAGTTTGTGAAAGAGCACACTGACACTCCACAGCGGTAATGGCAAAATGTTTTGTTTCTCCAAAATGTTTCTCCTACAGTCCTCCACTCCACCAACAGATACTGACTGGGCACCAATTAGAATCATACAATAAAAAATTTAAATTAAAATGCAACCCATTTGTAATTGCTTTTAAATTAGACAAGTCTCCAACTGATGATTTGCATATACTGCTGACATTCAGTGCCAGCATAAGGAGTACTGTGCTTTTTATATAGTGAGAAGGCAGTAATAATGTGGATGTTAGGATGGCACAGACTAGTATTAATGCCCTGTCACAGTGCAGCAGTTACTGTCTGCTCTCTGGAAACCACAGTCAAAAGGTCTCCCTGTGGGTAACTGTACCTTAATCAAGGTTTATTTGTCATGGTTTTTTGCTCCCTTAACCATACCATAACCATGTGCATGACATTGCATTGTTTTTCTTGTTATTGGCAATGGGCATTTAAAAAGGCTTTTTTTTTTTTTTTTTTTGCTGACTTAGTTATCAACTTCCTGTCTAATGATATAGCTTCACAAATTATTTGCTCAGTAGCCACCTGGTCCCCATCACAGAGACGTGCTGTATGCATAGGGCAGGTGATTCTCGACCTTAGCCACAATCATATTCTAAATATGGAACTGTTGATCTCAACTGAGGATTAAATTGCAAAGAGACAGCCTATTTGATATGAACTAACAAAGCTTTCTACACTTTTTTTTTTTTATTCAAAACAAGCTTTTGAAGCTAATTCCTTAGTGCACCAAACTATTTTATGTCCTCACTATGTCAGGACCAGATTTTGGCCATGGTTTCAGCGAAAAGCTTTGGTCCTTCACGGTGGCCTAAATGTTTCAGAAGTGTTTTAATCTACAAAGAAGTGTGTGAATACTAACATGCACTAGTTATAGGCATCTTCAAAATGACCTTTAAATAACAATATTAGAGGAAATGTATTTTATTTTAGTCCAGTGATTCTATTTTCTTTAAACAAAGTACATCTCAAGCAAACAAGACGACAGTGTGTCAATTATTATATGCTTTCATGTGGTCCTATTAAAGACATTCCACTTGGCAGAGTGTATAACACATGACAGTAGTGGCATTTAAGCATGAAATAAGAGTGCAACCTGCTCACTGTCAATACAGGGTTTAAAGTAGGATGGTAGGTTGTAATTTGAATGGAGAAACATTGAAAAATGGTCTGTTCTGTCTGCCTGTAAGTTACCTGCTGGGTCTATCCATCGTGCCTGTCTTTATTTAGTTTGTTCTGGATAGGTGAATAACCTTCTTTAGGAATTAATGTTGCAGTAGAGCTCACAATGTGAATGTGCTCGCTAACTTTTCTGATCTAACTATATACTTTATGTTCCAGTACAATCTGGTGTACTACTCACACATTGCAGTGTTAGACAAACCCTCTATCTAGTATGGGAGAATGCATTTTATGATTTGAATAAAAACATCACAGACTAAATCAAATTTCTCACTGAAGGTAAAACATACACTGTTTTATGAGAAAATCATCCCAGCAAGCATTTGATTTGAAACACTGATGCTAACATGACTGCATGAACCAACCTGAGAAAATACCAACAGAAATCCACATATGCAAGCTGATGGCAGTAGTCACCCATAGCTGCCACCAGTAGTGTTTTGTGAATCAAGAGGAATACAGTATCTATCTAAGCCAGAAATCTGTTTTGCTTGTTGATGTCAGGAATGCAGTCGTGAACCATACATTCTGTTCCCAACATCTCAATGTGTGTTAGACACAATAAATCTATGTTCTTCTTACTGATACATTCCTTTCACTTCTGTGATATCAGCTGTTTCCATGAGTTGCTATTCTTGCCAGTCAGATACCCATTACTGCATGAGATTTGTACTAGCTTTCATGTGTAGAGGCAAATACTTGCACTGGTAGAAACAGCAAACAAAGGGTATGTTTGCTTGCTCATGGCTGTTGTCATATAGTTGTATTAGAATGCTGTCTACATAGCAGAATGGCTGCACACATTTAATGGCAGACATATTTTAGCTGGCAGTCAAAAATGTGAATCGCCATGTGAATTACCATGGCCTTCAGATTATAACGCACCAGTGACCACTGTTCTTTCAACCTCACAGGCTTCATGTGCGTTTATGCTATATAGTGTATGTATATTTGTGTGCAGATACGTGTGTGTGTGTGTGTGTGTGTGTGTGTGTGTTTACATATTTAAGAGTCCGAGATGTATTCACCTTACAGAATGATACAATGGGGGCGACGGAGTCACTAGGCCTAGGTGAAACACTGTACAGTCAATACACTAAAATGTTGGATTAGGCTCTCGCTGGACTTTTCCAGGACATGTACTGTACAACTCCTGAAACTGGAGTCAGTGGTTCCCTCCTTCCATGGGAGTTTATTAAAGGATTTGTGCTGTCCCTAGTTACTTAAAGTAATTGTTCATTTGGGCATGGCCCTCAAAAATTTTACAACATATTTTTAACCATATCATTCTAATTGGTGGGCAGTTTTCACAGTGTGACCTTCCAAATATGAATATAATAAATGGGCCCAGATTTCACAAAGAAATAACGGTTTCTTTTTGCGGCAGTTTTTTCAACATACTACATAATGTACTGTGTACAGCTTGTGTTAATTAGACTTATACCTATGAGAAAATTGATAGTCTAATATAAGATCAGTATTCACTGAATATCTTTATGATTACTGCAATGAAATGTAAAAAAAAAATTCCGCTGTATGTATTCCATGTACAGATATTTTAGTGATAAACATCACCCACGACATTTTTTTCAGGCAAAGGCATTACAGAAAATTAAATAAAATGTGAATTTTAACAATATTATACAATTTGTTGTGTTTTTGTCTGCGCTAAAGAAACAGATTTCTTTACCTTCCACCATGATATATGTACACTGTTGTCATATTCCGGTTAATCAATTGAATTACTGTAGGGCTCCTCCCTGGTCACTGTCAGCTCTTTCAATAACTAGAGTAATTTTCAAAAGCTATTTGTAAGTGTTGCATATTTTTCTCTTATTTATTTGCCTATTAAAGCTGCAACTGAATGGAGAACTTGTGCAGTCACCATATTATTAGTTTCTACACTGGTTGCTGCAGTAACCCTACTCCAGGAAGCAGTTAGCTATTGACCTGCAGTTTATAATGCTCATCCTCTTTATCTTCTATCTCACAGAAGACTGCTGCATATAAAATAATTCATTACTGCCATTTTTCTTTGTTAATGCAGAAATTATTCAGTGGCATTAGCTCCAGTCAAGCTTCTGTGTTACTGCATCTAGAAAGGATATGCATTCGTCTAAATGCAACAGATATGAATAGTTGTGTTATAAGCAGGATGGAACTTTGCAGAGTGGAAATGAACAGCAGAAGCAGGGAGGTGTGTGTTAGTGGATGTGACTGTTGAAGATATGGGTCATGCAGCAGAGCAAATCTTTGTAATATATACAGTATGTCTGTGATCCAACTGTGTATTGCTACCAGCCCTCCAAACATTTTATTAAACTGGTCTGAGTATTCCCATTCCCTTAGGAGTGTCAGAAAGAAAAACACAGTGCAATAGTTTTGGATCTTGTTAGATTACAAGAGAAAACAAAAGTTTCTGGAGTTTCTCTTGAGGTCATTTGAGATGGTGGTTAAATTCTAGCTTGGATCCATGGTGACAGCAGAATTCCTCACGTTTCTTATCTCGGTGTCGCCATTGGGCCTATGTGAATAAATGCAAAGAAACCAACCCTTATCTTACGGCATATGATTTCCACAAATTGGCAGCAAGATTATCTCTAAGTTATATATTAGGAATTATAAAAATAAATATATGTAGCATATGATTTATTTCATTATGAATTTATTTGTCTTTTTAGTTGAGACTGCCTTTCATGGCACATGTGGTTGTGGTAAGAAATTCTGCTATCATTGTTTAACAGCAAAGCAGAGATGAGTGTCAGAGGGATTTCTTACCTTTTCAAGTTGTGCGTTCTGTTTGGACTTGTAGAGGAACTCTCCCACAGCCACAAACACGGAGAGGACAAGTCCAGCAGCTAGGACAATGAAGATCCCTCCGATGTTCTGCACCCCGAGAGCGCTGGCCTCCTTACTCTCTTCCTCGGGACAGCCATTTCCTCTCCACCACTTCTCCTTCATCATGTGCAGCTTCCCTTCCTCCTGAAGCTGCAGGATGGCAATGGTAATCTTATCTCTGTACGGAGAGCCTGAAGGACCAAAAGACATGAGGTCAGTATGCACATGACTTTAACTGATCTCTAAATGGAGGATACACATTATTACCTTTATTGAATACTCACTTTCATTGTCAGCCAAAGCTTGACTATCATCTTCTGTAACTTGCATTTAAATACACAACACAGGGTTTTTTTCTTCCTTAAGGTACCAGTGTGATTGATAATACTGTTGATTTCTTCATTATTTTACAGTATTGGGTTGTAGTGAATGATTAGTATACAGGTACTGGATATATTCTAAGCAGAATAACACATACCAAAATTTGAGATTCAGCTTTAGTCAGGTTTGCCCAGCTGCACCTGCATCTCTCACCTCCCTCACTTTTGTTCCTCATCCTCGGCCCCTGATTACCACAACCTGCTCAACACCCCTTGATTGTCACCAGCTGCACCTCTTTAGTCCTGCCCTTATTTATACCCTGCTCACCTGTCACTCCCTTGCCAGTTCGTTTACGTTCTCAGGCCCTCACGTTGTCTATCGTCTGCCTTATTCCAATTTTGTGTGTTTTTGTAGTCCCTATTGTTTAATGCCCTGGACTCCCCTTTGCCTCTCCTCTACCAGATTGCTCCTTGTTTTCCTCCATGGACTACTACCTCCAGACCTTGGCTCCACTCAACCCTTCCAGCCTCCGCCAGACAGGTCGATGCACAGTCACGGTTTACCTTCTGTACAGACCCCTCTCTTCTTATTTCCTCAGTAACCGTCGTTTCCCACCGGCCAGCTCAGGAGTGACCCAGCGATGCAGCTCAGCCCACTCCCTACATCTCATCATTCTAAAAGTACTGTTGCTGATCGACACCCGGTTACTCAGTTCATCCTCGCCAGCCTGTTTTTTTTTTTTTTTACCATGTACTGCACTGTACATAAATAAATCACTGCTTGCAAAGAAGTCAGCGACTTGGGTCCGCCTTTCCTTTTTGCTCACTCACTTCCATGTGCAAGCGAATATAACAGCTTTCCTTTTTGAAATAAACTATTTATGAGCTGTTTTGACCCAGCATGCCCTCACTGCTTCCTGTGTGCACCATGGAGTGATAAAGTGCAGCAGGAGGCCTATGTCTAGGCAGATGATAGATCACGGTATAGCAGATACCTCTGGGTCATCAAGATGCCAACAGCTTTTTGATTATATTGTCAATGAGTGAATGACAAGACCTGAGTTGTATATTTTAACACAACCTGCGTGGACTGACTCAAATAAGAATAAGGATAATCACCTTTATTGGCCAAGTATGTTACACACAAGAAATTTGTTTCAGGTACAGAATCGATGGCAGCCATTTGCAGCGCCACCTCAACCGATGGCTCTAACCATCAGGGGCAACTGGGTGGTTCAGTGTCTTGCCCAAGGACACTTCGACACATGGACTGCCGGCACCGAGATTCAAACCTTCAACCTTCTGGTTGGGAGACAACTGCTCTACCCACCGCACTACTGTTGCCTCCCCCCAATGTGTTTTACTTATTATCCAGAGACACTCACAATAGCCTATGCCTGTATAATATACAGCAATGCATTGATTCTCCATATTTCCAATAATGTACCTGGTGAGCTGTGAACATTGCCAAAATCTTTGAAAATACTGACAGAAATATACCCTTATTGTCCTCAAGAACCCTTTCAGGTTTAATTCCTCAAGAATTTAGAATAAACTTAGTGGGGGTGAGCTTTCTGCTGCCTACTGTACAGTACCATCTGGTCTGCTAGCACTTTGTTGTCTATCTTTAAAGATGCTAATGTTGGATGGCGCGTCCAGAGTGCAATATTACTATTATTGTTAAAAAAAAAACTATTGGATGGATTGCCATGAAATGAGGTACAGACATTCATGTGCCCCAGAGGATGAATCTTAATGATTTTGTTCATTACTTATCCCAACAATTTTAATTTGTTCAATACTTTGTCTTGTGAGCAAATATCATCCAAATTTCATCTGTTTCATGCTAGTTAGCATGCTAAACTCACTATAGGTGGTGACAATGGCAAAGATTATCTGCTAAATATCAGAATGCTAGCATTAGCAATGTGAGCATTTTGGCATTGTTTTAACATTTTTATTTTAACATGAATTATGTTTTCACCTTTTTACAATGATAAATTTGTGTTTGCTGCTTTTATGTTTCATGCTGTTGTTTTAAAACCACTTCTGCTTTATGTTCCCACCTCTGAAAAGCTACTACTTTGCTGTGACCCCATTATCTTTCAGTGAGCATTTAGTACATCCTAGTGTATGTTCTGCTTAATTTCATTGTATGTGTTTAACATTGTAAAATATTAATGATAATAGCTAGGATTACAATTTCATTGCCCCCATGGATCCAACATCACTAAACTAATAAACCTAAAATACATCTATGGGGCTCATAGTTCCATTCATTTTACCTGTATGGCTCTCTTAATTAAAACCAGTTGCCATGCTTAATCTGTGTTAATGTTTTCACTGTGGGCTGTTTCACTGACTTATTAAGCTAATGTCCCCAGTGTGAGCTTTGAAATGCTTCCTTCTGCCCATATGAGATGTCTGCATTGAGTTCTCCACACTCTGGCAACCTTTCTACCTCTCCCAGTCCCCTTAGGTAAGTCAGTCAGGTAAAGCACTCCAACACCACTTCCTGCTCTCTCCGTGCTCTACTGATCAACACCAGTCACATGTCGTGATCCCTGATTAAACCTGACGGAGGAAGCCTTGGTTATTAAAAAAAATAAAAATAATAAAATAAAATAAGTAGAATCCTGGCACATTCCCACTCCCCAAACCTCCATGTGATACTGCCTATACTACAATCAGAATGTTAATATGGTTTAAATTAGTTGGAAAAAAAAAACTATTAACACCCATTATCACAAACACTTAGAATGAAGTCTCCCTGGAGCATTAGGGGGATAACATATTTAGAAAATGCCATCACTTGGGTTGCTCTGGAGGAGTAGCAATCTCTGTGATTAGTAGTTAGTATGCATAGGCTGTTCAGCAACAGTATTGTGTACTGGGCCCAAATGATCCTAAACAGCAACAATATGTTGGAGTCAAGCTTTGAGCTGTAGCCTTCAGCCCCGTGACAGTGTGGCTGCAGTGACAAGGCTGTGTTCACACTCTGCAACATCTCTTCTGCTCTTCATCTCTGCCCAAGGACCTCTGGTATCTGAATCTCTATTCCAAAACAAGCTGACCAACATGTTTCAAAAGCATCTATCACCATGGTGATGGCAAATGTGAAATGTGCTACAGTCCTTGTTATTCATTGCAATCTACAGTAGATACTGTAGTTTCTCTCAGCTCTGGAGTGGAACAACAAGTCAATATGTGCCACATAAGTCACTCGTTACAACAAAGAAACAGGCAGCCTTGAAACTGAGCCAGCTCTGCCCAATCAAAACAAATGGAAAAACCTCAGCTGTAATATCATGGGCTGGATAAACATGAGCACTGTGCCATACAGTCAAGACCAGCACTGCAGTGTGCCAGCCTCATTTTTGGCAAGTATCATAACCCACATCCACATAAGCATGAACTGGTTGAACAATCTGATGCCTCCTGACTGACTGACTGAGTTGAAAATAGCACAACACTTTCCTTTGGAAAGAGATTTCTTATTAGAATTGCAAAATATACTGAATGTACAGGTGTCCAACACACCTGGCCAATAAAGCAAATTTTTCTTCTACAAATACACACCATCAAATCCTCCACCATTTTCATACAGACAAGCCGTATAACATTGTGAGGCCAGACTTGGCTGTAATAGGTCAAGGCTCTACAGTATCAATGCTATATAGAGTGCAACTCCAAACTTTGGACACCCCTTCTCATTCTGTGGTTTTTCTTTGTTTCTACATTGTAGAGGTTGTTGTAGCTGTGCTTGTCAACTGTGCACTGAATTCTGAATAAATCTCCAACAGTATCATCAGTGAAGCACCCTCATCTCATTACACCTCCTCTCTCATGCTTCACAGGGGCGACCCAAACATGCAGATACCATTCATGTACTTTTTCTTCATCTGACAAAGACATACTGTACTGTAGTTACTAGAACCAAAAATCTCAAACCTGGACTCAGACTAAATCAGATTCCCAAATTATGGTCTCTGGACTGGTACCGGGTCGCTGACTGGCCACTACCGGGCTATAAAAATATGTAGTATTCTGGCTGCTAAAATGTTTGCTTTTAAAGCAAAACTACATTCTTGGACAAAAAGATTGGAAAAAGGAGTCTGTGACATTTTTCAAACATACACAGAGTATTGGGGGGGCAGTGCTGATCTGACAGCTGTGATTCTTAATCGCATGTGTGAACTGTCAGTGGAATTTGAGAGGTACTTCGCCTCTGCAAATGATCTGAGAACTGGGAAGAAGTGGGTACGTAATCTTTTCTATTCTGAATCATCATCTCTGACATCAGAACTGAAGGACAGACTACTGGAGTTACAAAACGATGGATCACTAAAGACTCTATTCACATGACATTCTGTCACATCCTTCTAGATTAAAATTTTAAAAAAGAGTACCTGAACTTGCTGCAATTGCACTAAAAACACTGTTGCCCTTTCCATCTACATATTTGTGTGAGGCTGGATTTTCAGCTCTGACCACCACTAAAATGAAGCACCGCAACAGAATAGATATTAGAAACACGCTGCGTCTGTCACTCACACATATCACTCCTCGCTATGACTGTCTTGTCTCCATGGATCACACTGAGACAGAGTAAGCTATGTAAGCTTCATTTGTGTGTTGTTGTTGTATAACTGATCCTGATAGTAAATAGTATTTTGCGAGATTTTAAATTGTGATGATGTGATAAATGCCCCAGCCCCCCCAAATCCATCATAGATCCCAGATCAGACATCGGTCTGGCTGGTAGGCCCAAAAACTTTGGGAATTCCTGGACTAAAGTACAGGATCAAACATGTACTTTGTACTAAAGTACAAAGTACATGTTTGATCCTTGTGTTTCTTCACCAAAGCAA